ATATATATATATATATATAGTACTAAGGACTCTGGATGATCCAGGCTGTCAAAGAACGCTTGTCTCCCTGCATCCTCCAACCTCATTAACTTAGTGTTTTCTTAATGAGAACATTTATTGACCTCATGAAGCCCCTCAATGGATTTCTGTTTCTAATAATCCAAGACAGCAACGTAACCTTTTTCCTGTTGGTGAGAATAGATGAAACCTCAGCTGCCTTTTGAGGTGAATAGCAGATTGTTTAGTTGGCATTGGGTTCTGTGACAAATGGCTGCAGAATTTATTAGCTCCGGCTCCAATCAGAGCTGATGGGAACACAACAACAGGGTACACATGCTAATTTTCAATAAGCCTGCCTTGCCTGGGGGCGGCTGCAAAGTTTGCTTTTTTTCTTTAATGAAACACAAATTAACTGACCTAACATCTCAGACGTCACTTCGAGCTCCAACCCTCACAATGACAGCAACAACTCAGAGAAAATGAACAAGACGGATTGATTTTCCTTTCTCCAGCAGACAGCTGGCAGCTCATTGCAGTCCTGCTGTGTGAGGTTGGATTCTGCAGCCCGGACGACATTAATAAACCCATCAAACCGTCTCACAAAGTCCTGATGATCAGAGAGTGGGACCTAACACAGCTGGTAGGACGCTGTGTCATGCCACCCCTTCATGTTGCATTGCCCTACAAATGATGGACTGGGAGGCAGTGGAACTGCTTACTGGATGTTTTCCAGTTCATAGGCAGAGCACCCAGAATTCCTTACTGGGAGAAGATTAATGTTAGTGGGAAATGCTACACCTATAGTTTATAATGCACTTGATCAGACGCCACCAGAAATTCGAGGTTTTTCTGTTTTATGTATTTCATAGGTAGAATAACACGGTGGAAAGATTAAGAAACACTATCATCAAAACTTTTACTAATTGATGTCTAATAAGTTTGGTATTTATATTTATCCAGCCATCCTAATTATGCACTTTGTAAAACCCATCATTGCTGGAATTACATCTGCTACTATCTTTAGTATGTTTCTGGGATCTCTGCACCAGCTTTGAAAATCTACCACTAAACTATATGCATTTTTTTCTGTATTCTTTTCCGTCTATATTTCTATTTTTTAACGGATTCCACGCCCTACTAACAAAGAGCCGACCTCAAACATGTTTTCTTATAATCTAATCTAATCAAATTTCCTTCTCCTCCATCACTGCTGTGGAAGAATCGGACTCATCACTGGTTTCTTTGACCAACGGCGTGTTTCTCTCCTATAGACCGAGTGTGTGGAGAGCTCATTAGCTTGGTTATTTATATTTGAGAAATTAAAAAGAAGAAATTATGGGAGAATCCACAATAAAGTCAGGTAATTCCTTCACATGACACATTGGTTTAAGGATGAAGTAGAATTGAATATTTGTATAAGTATCTAATAGTATTAGAGTGCAATAAATTCAGTGTATTCTCATTATCAGTTCATATGAAATCGTACGAAAAGTTATGCACAGTATTTCGTACATTTTTGACCTATTTTTTGTTGTATTTTGTCATATTTTTATGTCTTGCCTCGAGACAAGATATCCTTGCGCATGCGCATCTTATTCAATAACATAGAATTTAACATACAATTAACCCTGACCCTAAGATACAAAACAGCAAGCAACCTAGTGAGAGACATCATGAAGTAATTATTGCACTGTCCGTCCCAGTTTTACGTCCGTCCGTTGATCTGCTTTTTTCGTCTGTCTGGCTGCGCACTGATATGTTTTTTCAAGGAAAAACGTCAAAAACGTACGAAATACTGTGCATAACTTTTCATACAATTTCATACGAACTGATAATGAGAATATGTTGATAAATTGGGGATGAAGTTGAATAAAGAAAAAAATAATCACAAATAAACAGTAAAACTTGCAATTTTTCTACCTAAAGGTAACTTTTAGGTTTGATTTTAGACACGGAGAAACTGTGATCAAAGGAGCCTGATTGTTCTTCTCAGCTGCAATGCAGACTAGCCCTAGGCCAGAGTTTAAATCTGATGCATCAAACAGAAAACAACCAAATTACCTGAAGCTCAGCTCACTCCACAGCTGCAGTTCAACTCCGGGCTGGAATACAGCTTCCAATGATAAACTGATTGTTTAATATAAATATTATCTTCAGCTCAGCTGGTTGCAGATGATCATTATTCAAACAGCTACGGGCTGATGGATGAAGCCAGGTGTCACGGCCTACTCAATACAGGTGGCAGATAAGTACAGGTTACTATGGCAACACAAGGTGGGTTAGATTAGCCAAAAACCTGTTTGGTGTCAGCAAATGGCATCGTTCTGAAAATAAGACCTGCTCGTTTCAACCGCAATGACTGTGTGGGCGTGGCCTGACTGTGTGGGCGTGGCCTATGTGTGTGGGTATGGCCTGGTTTCTTTGCAGGGAATGTTTCCCTGAAATGTCCCACAGTTTGGGGACTTCTATGTAGTTGTGGGGATGAACCGGTCTAAGGACTGAGTGTAGGGTTGGTTCAGGTGTGTGCTGATAGGGGTTAGGCTCTGGGTTAGGCCATAGAAATGAATGAGAAATCAATCAGAAGAATAAAAATCAATGGAAAGTCCCCACTAGAAAGGTGTGACACCACCTGTGTGTGTGTTTGTGAGTCTCACCTCTGTCCCCAGTGTATGTGTTTTCCGGGTTGAGAGTGTCCAGCAGGTGGACGGAGCTGGTGGGTCTGGTTTTGCCACGCTCGTCCTGTTGATGGTCCGCTGAGCTCAGGCCGTTTTCATACAGCTGGTTCTCACCGTGGCGAAGATGCCAGGTCAGGCCTAACAGGTGGACGGCTGCAGACACACAGGGAGGAAGAAAAGCAGCGATAAAAGATCATTATTCAAGGCATGCAGAGGGGTGTGTCTGGATCTCGTTTAATGCCCATCTTAGAGGACTCACTCTCTTTACGCGCTTATTAGTGCCACCAAGCGATGGACAATTAGCAAACACACACAATCGCAGACATTTAACTGGTGCACCCGTACGAGCACACGTGATCACCGAACGTAGCAGAGGTGGGCAATTAAGGCAGATCTTCAGAGCCGGAGCCCAGGGCTGGTATTAAAGCGTTAACACAGTCTTTTATGCATGACTAATGATGCTTTGAAAGCTGCTGCAGATTCACAATCCATATGGGGCTTTTAAACAACAAAGGCTAAGGCGCATACAGGATTCCCCCTCCCACTTGTAAAAGTCTTTACTAGGACAACAATCCTACTTGCTGTCAAATAAGAAAAACTAACATCACGCCCCTGAAAAGAAATTAATTAGCGTCTTTCAAGACTATCGATAAAAATGGAGCATTTATCTGTGTCCAACCAAACGTGAGGTTCTTTCCTCCTGAGATCCAGCCTGCAAACTGCTTTAGTCCAACACTTTGAAAGAATCTGTAAAGGTTATGTGCCTTTGCTGGTGGGAAGAACAAAGCGAATGAAATACATCATTGCAGGTTTTTTTTCTCTCCTGACACATTTGGAACATCAAACAAAAGCAAAGACTCAAATCATAAAGTTGTGATGTGCTGGTGGCAGTCAAAGGAGGACTGCTGCATGCAGATCAAGGTGAGAAACTTCTAAAGACTTCAAACATCTCCGCCGTCTACCGCCGCCTGCCTGATGATTGCACAACGCCCAGGAAAGGCACCCGTCACTAGCCTGCCCCAAAATGGCTGTTTAGCAAAACACATCCCAAATTATTTTAGGAGAGACTAAGACAGTGGCATCGTCCCGTTACTGCACGCTCTGTGCATGCATGCAGGCACAGAACCTTCTCTGAACACACACCCACTCTCTCAGCCACACTCAGTCCCCTGCTGATGAGGAATGCCTAATTAAACCTCCAGATATTTCAAAGCCATTTGCAGTTACTTTCCACTGAAGCAGAGGGATGAAGGGAAAAAATGACGACTTTCTCTGCAAAATCCAGCAAATGAATGAGAAGCTCCAAGAGCGTCATGAAAGCCTGGTCCCTCGCTGAACTTCTGTCATCTGTTGGGATCAGGAAATCATTTATTTCAACGCTGCAAGCTCTGAGTGGCTCACACCACTTTTAGTTCAGCTATCTGCTCATGCACAATGCAAACTCTTCAAAGCATGACTACAGACGGATTCCACTGCCATGAGAGGGAGACAGCATGCATCATTTAGCTCAGACTAATTAAAGTGTCAGCCGTGACGAGGCCAGACGCCTGCACATGCGCCCATTCTTCAACGCTCTACCTCCGTTTTCTTTTATTCCCATCACTTTTTATGGAAAGAAAAATGCGTCAGGAATTTTCTCATTAAGATACTGCTGTGAAATCATTTGAGCTGAGTCACTGCGATGCTAGAAGATAGAAACATTAATAATATTATAAGACAAACAGTTGCCTAAATGATCTCTCCTGTACTTTCGGTTTAATGGATTTTGTTTTCAGCACCAAACATTCTAGCAGCCTGGTACAGCTTGGACTACATCACAGGCAGACAGGTGGGGAGAGAAAAAAGGGAAAAAGAAAGTTGACAGAAAACTATACTGTTGTTGCTTTGAATCACATTTTTATTTAACAGCGACAGAAAAATAGAGAATCCACCTGCGTTTTCCTTCCAGCTAGAGCCCATTATCAGCTCTCTTCATTAGGATTAAACATAAAATATACTATTTCCTCACCAAATGCAGGTTTGCATTTATCATCGCTCTTCCAACTGCATTATATTTTGCAGTGGAGTGGAACAGCCTATCATGGTTTCATAAATTAGTCTGTGAGAGTGCTTTGTGAGGTATGACAAGTTATTCCCATACAAATGAGGTTAGCCTTTTTTCCCTCAACATTCTCCATGCTCCACAATATTCTCCCTTCCTCTCTTCTGAACTGCCTTTCCTGCTGCTCTTGTTTTCCAATAACCCTCCACCCATGTCACCAACGCCACCAACCCTTTCAGCCAAGTGTGAGCCACTCCAGTGAGGACTGAAGCAACAGTCCTCAGCAGCTCTTCGGCTTCCTCCTCTTCAACACTCCACACCTTCTCAAAAGCTGCTCTCGCTCATCACTCTATTGTTTCAAAGCTGTTAACCTTTTGCAAGAACACTTAGTATCTCTGGGCACCAAGCAGATGTGCACACACACAGACAGACACACTGGATCATTAAGGGAACATGAATGTGATGCATCTTGTAATGGGAACAGTAAAGACATTGCTTTTAACCTGAGCAGGCAGGTTATTGGCATTAAACAGAGTCCTTGCATGTTGTAAATGACATCGGCTAACAGTGTCTGTTTGGTGCAGGATCAGACCCTCTGGGGTTGCTGGGTAACCAGCCTCTGCTCCATCCTTTGCTCCGTCTGCTCCTTCTTTCAGCATCTGCTCTTATCTTCTGCAGCTTTTATTCCTATCTCTGTGTCAGACTTTGGGCGGGAGGCTTCCAGGCTTGGTGGGGGGTTAATTCCTTTCAGACGTTACAGAGCGACCAACGATACAGAGCGACTGACATTACGCAGCGACCGACACTACAGAGAGACTGACGTTACAGAACTACTGATGCTACAGAGAGACCGATGCTAAAGACCAACCAACGTTAGAGAGCATCCGACTCTACAGAGCGACTGATATTACGCAGCGACCGACGATACAGACCCACCAATGCTAAAGACCGACCGATGCTACAGAGCGACCGACGTTACAGAACTACTGACGCTACAGAGCGACCAACCCTACAGACCGACCGACGCTACAGAGCGACCGACACTACAGACCGACCGACGCTACAGAGAGACTGACACTACAGAGCGACCGACGTTACAGAACTACTGACGCTACAGAGCGACCGACCCTACAGACCGNACACTACAGAGCGACCGACGTTACAGAACTACTGACGCTACAGAGCGACCGACCCTACAGACCGACCGACGCTACAGAGAGACTGACACTACAGACCGACCGACGCTACAGAGCGACCGACACTACAGACCTACCGACACTACTGAGCGACCGACGTTACAGAACTACTGACGCTACAGAGAGACCGACACTACAGACCGACGACGCTACAGAGCAACCGACTCTACAGAGAGACTGACGTTACAGAACTACTGACGCTACAGAGAGACCGACACTACAGACCGACGACGCTACAGAGCAACCGACTCTACAGAGAGACTGACGTTACAAAACTACTGACGCTACAGAGCAACCAATGCTAAAGACCGACCGACTCTACAGAGAGACTGACGTTACAGAACTACTGACGCTACAGAGCAACCGATGCTAAAGACCAACCGACGCTACTGGGCGACCAACCCTACAGACCTACCGACACTACAGACCGACCGACGCTACAGAGCGACCGACTCTACAGAGAGACCGACGTTACAGAACTACTGACACTACAGAGCAACCGACACTACAGACCGACCGACGCTACAGAGCAACCGATATACAGACCGACCGACTCTACAGAGAGACTGACGTTACAGAACTACTGACGCTACAGAGTGACCGATGCTAAAGACCAACCGACGCTACTGAGCGACCGACGCTACAGAGCGACCGAC